AGATATAGATGCCGAGAACTTACTTGCAAAGATCACTGAATGCTTGTGGATTCAGCAGTTTTATCACTTCATATTTATGTCAACGTCTTTCGTAACTACTGCTATAGAAGCTTTGGGCCGTCTAGGAGAAAAATTTCCGCATATGGTTGTACAGGATATTTTGCCAGTACTGACAAAATTTTTACTGGAACCATCTCCAATATTAGTTAAATGTGGAATTAAAGGAACTGTGCCTGAGAACTACAGTGGAAAATTATTAGAAAAACGGGAAGAGGCGAATTCGCGAAGAAAACGTGGGCTTGATAACTTAAGAAAAGCAACAATTAGTGCAATTTGTAAAGCTTTACGGTCCGCTCTCAAAACTGAAAAGGAATGTGTGCAAGCTTACTTCTACAACGTTTCCACAAAACTTGTTCTTCTGGAGGCTGATTCGTGTACTTGTTCATCTGAATTGGTCCTCGAGAATGTGATTTTGATTTTAGGAGGCGTCGGAGTTGAAATGGTTGATGTGGCTGATATCGCCCAATTGGTTTTTAATGTCTTTCATGAAAGGTTGTTCAAAAAACCTACTTTATTTCTCGATTCTTTGATTATTAGTATGCTTGCCAACATGTGGACTGCTGGAGCGAGGAAAATTTATGAACCTATTTGGCTGCTTTTCACGAAGATAACTATTGCTTCTAGCAATCGAGAGTACCCCTTACCAAATGGGGACCAGCCAGGAGAAGAAAATAGATATTCTCACGTTTCGTATGCTGTAGACAAGGCTTTAAGTCATATGGCGGAAGAGATCCAAGGCGAGGAGGATAAAATGTCTTTTTTGTGCAGGCTTCTTGAGCTCTTTGTACAGTTAGGACTTGAAGGAAAAAAAACTAGCGAACGAACAAATGCGGTTTTCAAGACTTCTGGTGCTGGTAACCTTGGCATATTGATCCCCAAAATTGCTGCTTTGTTGCGGCGGATGGATACGATCATGAATCCCTCAGTAAAGCTGAGAAGTTTATTCCGAGATTTTTGGTTTTATTGTGCTATTCTTGGTTTCGACGTACCAGATTCTGGTAAGGCTGCATTCTTTTTCTTTTTTTTTTTTGATTTGGTGGACTGTCACTAACAAGTTTTTTTTCCTGTTACTAGTTGTTCTTTTTATTTGATGGTTAGGGATCTCAATTTTTTTTCGTCTACCTTCTTGAAATATTTTCATACAGAGTTTTTGTAGGATTTTGGATTGAAGAGTGGTATCAGGGAGTCTGCGTAATTGCTTGTAAATCTCCAGTACTGATACCACAGGAAAGTTTGAGAACTGAACTAACCGCGCATCCTGTTGTAAAAAATGATGCAATACCCGTGGTCGGTTTCATTTGCGGGTTTTTCAGTTTTGAGAATATTGCAGTCATTTTTATTTTTATTCCAGACTGAGTTACAAGAAATCAGGAATACCGTAATCAAAGAGATCCAGCCACCAGCAGATGTAAGCGCACTTATAAGCAAAATGGAGTTTGCGCACTGTATATACTTAATTTCTGTTTTTCGAATGGAATCAATGAGAGCTTTGTATTCTACAGACCCTGAAGCAGTGCATTTGGTGTTTCGGTACTTGGAAGAACGGTTGGTCTTTGTACAGTATCTTATTGCTTTATTGAACTGAGTGTGATTTTTCTAAAATGATTTTTTATGTCTAACTATTGTTAGCTTTGAAATTCTATTTTTTAATTAGATTTTTTTATCTGTAATTAAGGACGTTTTCGTTTAGCATCTGTCGCGAGTATTTGAAATAATTTTGCTTCTGGGGCATTGAAGGTATAAATTTTCATTTAGATCGATAAGGAAGGACAAAAGTGGCATGTGGGCTTGTTTGTTGTCGTCTGCTATTGCTGTGTTCTCAAAATACGTTACATACTTAAAGAATGAATTTCTGCTTGATGAGAATTTGGAGAGACGTCTTGAACGTCATGCTCAGTACTTCTTGGTTATCTTCAACCACAGTATCAAAGAGGTTTGTAGGTCTTCTTATAATTTTTGTAGTTTAATTATTTTATACTGTGCATTTTAGATGAGACGATGCGCGGACACTTGCCTAACTAAGTTAATTAGCAGTTTTCCTCACCTGTTATGGAATGGAAATGTGCTTGGCACGGCTTTAAAACTTCTGGAAGCGTTGTCTTGCAACTTGGAGCATGATATAGAATGCAGTATTTCGAGATTATCTGTTGCTTCTTTCCCCTGGTCAATTCAGCTTCAGGTAGGTACTTATTCTTTTCGCATTACCGAGGTTTCCATAGTAGGAGCTGCCTGTTTACTTGATTGTATTGTTTAAATTTTAATTTAAAGACAATTACTGTTTAGTCCCTGCTTGTATGCAGGAATTCGTAGCCTCTGTTGGAGATACTGACTTCAAATTTTAGGAATCTTACGATCAAAGAAAGGTGACGGTTAGAGACTTTACGCAACGATGCGAACAGATTTTACAGGAAGCTGTTAAATGGGCACCGGGAAGCACTCGTAGTCATCTAGTCGTATGGCTTAAGATCATTACAGCTGCTGTTTGCGTCTTAAAGAAACATTTTTGAACGTGCTTCTATTCTCAACTTTAGGAGTACGTCGCAAACTCTCACTCTGTGACTGGCGCCAGCTTTCGCTTGACGATTGAAGCGTTTCTGAAACGATTTAGTGACGTTGGTGTTGATGGGGAGTTGTTTTCTGATCCATCTCTGTATCTAAAGTCGCTCCATTTTCGATCTCTTTTTATTGGAGAAGTGAGCTTCCGACATTGCTTGAAACTTGAATGGACCTTCATTATTTTGAATATAAATTACACTGTTGTAGATACGGGGTATGATAGATGCCTATAAAATGACAGACCCAAGCAATTACGAACAAAAAATAATCTCTTTGCTTGAGAAGGAGTACGAATCAGTCTTGAGTCTTGAAAAAGAGGAGGGAAAATTGCACAGTGTGATGAAGTTGTCAGCGCTATTTATTACTCTTCCGGGTAACCTTCTTTCTCCCTTTTAATTCTTTTACTTTAGTGCCACCTGTTTTTTTTCGTTCCTAAAATCATGTTTCAGGTCTAAACAATCATTTATTACATGTTCTTGCCACTATTCCTACTCGTGATTTTTCTGTATTTATGATGCGAATTTGCGTTATGTGCTGGAATTGGATACTAGTTGCAAGACCGAACGTTCAGTTGCCAGTTAGTGTTCCAGTTTAATATTGTTGCCTTAAAGTTGCTTTTTGTTGTCTGTTTATTCTATTCACTGTTTCAGATTGTGAAACAACTAATTTAGTAAAAACTTTTCCAGGTTTTTTTTTTACTCTTGGGGTTTTTTAGTTTCTCAGCGAGATGGCAAATGCATGGACTAATTTAGTTTATAGAGGTGTAGGTCTGTTTGAAAGAGACCAACCGCTTGATTCTCCTTTGAGCACCAATACGAGTAGTTTTAAGAAACCTTTTATTCAGTCACACAGCATCTGGATAAATGTAAAGTTCTATCAATTTTCCTTTTTTTATCTTTGATTATGTTGCTCTCTGTGCACAGATTTGCAGTATGTACTTTTTTATTGATTGAATTGAATCTCCACTACGCAAGGTTTTTGCTTTACAGTTCTTGCGGGAACGTATGATTGTTGCGAAGTATTCAAGTAAGGAACAGATGGATGTGTTAGAAATGATGTTTGCAAGAACCCTTTCTTTTTCGATAGGAGAGAGGTTGTGCAAGCAGTGGACACCTTTCCTCCATGATCCCTTCGAGCTTGATTCTTTTCATGGTATGGCTAGTATCGGGACTCCGCGATGTATTTTTTTGCTTTTGATATGCAGAGAATTTTTATCTTTAGTAATCGACCTCTTCTTATTTGTAGTTGTAATGACACGATCCATAGAAGCAGTTGGAGTCAGGTTTCGTTTGTTAAACTGTGTCTTGTCTATGATTCAGGACGATTCCTTGTCAATTCGCGTATCCAAAAATGTTATTCGTGAACGCATTTATGCAGCCGCTCTGGACTATTTCACGTATGCTCTAAATTTAATTCAAAAAAGCTCTGGTTTCATGTTATGTTTCTTGCCCTTCTGTAGTATTTTAATGTATTTTGACAAAAATAGTCGAAAAGCACGAAGGTTTTTTTCCCAGATTAGACTCCTGGTTTAGTAGCTTACTATGTATGACACTTAATTTTCGTTCTGCACTTTGAAAATCATTTGTGCTGTAGAACCTTTCAAAAACTGCATTGTGCTTCTTTAGATTTTTCTTTTCAGTTTTTATTTGAGTTCTTGTATCTGCAAAATTAATTTAGGATTCCCCCTCAAACACCGACACAAAACGCAATTCAGTTAAAAAACGACATTGATCAGCTTGAAGCATTTCGTGTAACATTGTATGCTGATTTCCGTCACATTAAACGGGAGATATCTGCTAGTATCGGTAAGTAAATTTAGGCACTGTTCACATTTGATTCAGGAATTAGTTTTTAAGTTTATTATAGCCAACATAACTTTAAGATGCTGAATCAAGTTCTCTACAACAGTCCGTATCAGGGAATACCAAACTGGATTCATCAAGCCTTTTGAACAGGTTAATTTATGTAGCTAATGTTTAGTAGAAATTCGTTTCTCCTCTCTTCCAAATATCGAATTTCTCATTTGCTTCAGTTTTTTTCTGTTAACCTGTGTAAAACCGTTTTTATTGAGATTTAGACGAAAACTGTAGTTCGACCTATTATTGTAGTGATTTGCATATGTCTTCTCATTTTATAATTGTTACAGTTTACATTTTTAAGAGCTGAGGTACAAACAATTCATGCAGCAACTTCTGCAGCTTGGGTGACAATGCTTCCTTCTCAGAGGAAACCGAGTAACATAACACGTACGAGGGAAAGTGACGGTAACATCTGTTGCACTTTTTTCTTGTATATTGTAGTGGTTATGATTATGTTTATGCTTGATGTGTAACGTATTCCACATGGTTTAGCGGACAATTATCTGTTTTAGATCGTCGGACTAAAATTGATATCGATCGACAGGTCAAGATATACAATAAAAAGAGAAATCTTATTCTAACATTTGTGGTAATAAATTTTCTAGATTATTCGGGTTTTTTGTAAATTAGAATGTGGTGTATTTTAATTTTGTTTTAAACGATAAATTAAGGTAGTTCTAGCGGTATCAAGGTTGTTTAGGCGAACGAAGTTGGAAGACTGAGTGTTTGGTTAAATCCGCTTGGAGAAACAGCTGACTCACCTGAATCAAAAGCAGAAGAATGGCGTAAGAACAATTTTTCTGACCCGCGTGCAGAAGCAAAATTAATGAAAGAATATGTAAAATTAGCTTGGGAGCTCAGCCCGGATTTAGCTGTTCATATGCCGGCAAGGTAGGGTATTATATTTCCAAACTTGACCTGTCTTGCAAGCCTTCACTGATCTTTTTCTCTCCAGGTTTCGTACCGTTACCGACTGTCGTAATACCGTACATGACTTGATTATTAACAACCCAGAGGTAGTTTCACATATTCCAGAGGCCCTTCCATTATTACTCGCTGACGACAAAGTAATGGAGGAGAAAAACGAGGCTAGATTTGCAGAGTTCTTTTACTTCTTTTAACTTTGTTTATGTGTACCGGGTCTTCCTCGTGTTTTGTCGGACTTTTTGGCGAGTGAAGTCAGCTTTTGGGTTATCAGCAGTCTTTATATCCTGATATGCTTATTTTGACTAGAAATAAAAGACGGGTTTTTAGGACCTCAAATGTTTAAGTCATGTTTTAACTTGGGCACGGTGTACTCCAGTGATGGCTCTTTCTCTTCTCGGAGCTAGAACGTATCCGACTCATCCAATAACGGTGCAGTATGCTGTAAGAGTTTTAAAGTCTTATCCTTCAGACGTCCTATTACAGTACATTCCTCAAATGGTTCAGGCAATTCGTCATGACACGGTACTTGTTATTTGCAGTATTTCGCAGTTTTTTTCTTTTTGCAGTATCTGTTAGTTACAACTTGTAGATTTAGATGGGTTACGTTGCTGAACTTCTGGTTTGGCTAGCAGGACATTCGCAATTATTGGCTCATCAGTTATTGTGGAATATGCAGACAAATTTGTATCGGGACGAAGATGCGAGAATTGAGGATCCCGAGCTGTTTGAGCCTTTAAAAGACGTTATTAACAAGGTGCATTGGCTTACTTATCAACATTCAGGTGTATCTGTTTATTTTTTTCAGTAAATAATGAAGTTTGTTTCAGATAATTTCTCAATTGGAAGGTGCGGCTCGACGGTTTTATGATGCTGAATTTGACCTGTTCAAACGTATAACTGACATTTCGGGTATAATTAAACCTTACCCAAAAGGTGATGCCAGAAAGAAAGCGTGTCTGGAAGCGTTATCAAAAATCAAGATTACATCGCTTACTTATTTGCCATCTAATCCTGAAGCCGTTGTTATTGATATCGATTATAAAAGTGGAAATCCCATGCAGAGGTTTTTTCTTTTTACTCATAAATCATCATGGCGGCTTGTATTTTTGTGTCATTCCACATTACCGTATGTTACTTATAATTTGATTTTCAGTGCTGCGAAAGCTCCATTTTTGGCCCGATTTAAAGTTTGTCAGTGCGGAGTTAAGAAGCTGGAGGATATAAGTTTAACTGCTCACAGTGGTGAACAGCCACCCGAAGACCAATTGTGCAGACTCAGTCGTTCTGAAAATCCAAATGTTTGCTGGCAAGCTGCTATTTTCAAGGTTAATAGAAAATCATATTAATCGGGAACTGAATTCTTATGGCTATTTTGTTGGTATTCATTTTCTTTTTAAAATAACAGATTTTTTTACATTACCCGAAGTACTAATTTTTTTAAATAACAATTTGGATATTAGGTTGGTGACGATGTACGTCAGGATATGCTTGCCCTACAGCTAATGCGAATCATGAAGAATGTTTTTACTGCAGTAGGTTTGGACGTGAGGCTTTTTCCTTATCGTGTAGTTGCTACATCTCCTGGTTGTGGAGTGATTGAGTGTGTGCCAAAGGCAAAGTCTCGAGATCAGCTGGGAAGGCAAACAGATTTTGGTGAGTAATCTTTATTTCATTTTTTTATACTTTTTGAAAGTATGGTTGTTTACATTATTTTATTTTAAACGTTTAGTCAAGTTGAAATGAGAGCTTTGTAGGTTTGTACGAGTATTACCTCGCTACTTATGGTGAAGAAAATAGCGAGACAATGCGTAGAGCGCGTCGTAACTTTATACACAGTATGGCAGCATACAGTGTTTTTAGTTTTTTGCTTCAAATTAAGGACCGACATAATGGCAATATCATGATTGATGCTGATGGCCACATTGTCCATATTGGTTCGTTGAATCTCAGTGTTTGAAGTACAGTATTTTCCTCATCTATTCTTTTCTCTGATTAAAAAATATTTTCAGACTTTGGGTTTATGTTTGAAAGTAGTCCCGGTGGTAATCTAGGGTTTGAACCAGACTTCAAACTATCCTCAGAAATGGTAGCTATTATGGGAGGTAAAATGGAAGCTGCTCCTTTCCGGAAGTTTGCTTCTCTATGTATCCAGGCTTACCTTGCTCTAAGACCTTACCAGGATGTTTGTTTTTTTTGTCAGAGAGTCATCATAGTGTTCTCTGTCTTTTGATTTTTTAAGAAAAAGTGCTGGAGAAGAACCGATTTTTTGAAGGATATTTAAAGTATTTATTAGTTTCTCAACCCAAAAGTTTTAGTCGTTTATTGCTTTGGTGTCTTTGATGTTGGACACTCGTCTTCCATGTTTCCGAGGAAAGACCATTCAGCAATTTCGTGACCGATTTGCGCCAAATGCGTCCGACCGTGATGCAGCGAAATACATGATGCAAATTATTCGAAACTGCTTTCTAAATATTAGAAGTAAAATGTATGACCACATTCAATATTTTCAAAATGATATACCTTACTAGCAACAGCGCTCTCTTTTATACCGTGTTTAATACTCCTTGTGGCTAAATATGTCTTTCGGGTGTCATTGGTTACTCATTACGATCTCACTTTGTAGGCGCGCGATTGTAATACTTCACTAAAAAGTTTCTAACTTATCATTTGTTCTTTTTTTTAACAGATGGATATATTAAGCATACTTTGTTCACGTCACCACCAGTTTTATTAGATGGCAAGATACAGTTAGATATTATTTCCTATTCAGGTACTTTATGAAACTCAGTTTAATGACTTAAAGGTGTAATTAATTATTTGTAATTGTTTAAAACTGACATAGGATTTTTGTAAAGTTTACAGTGTATTGCACACCTTTATGTGCTAATCTTTCCTTTTTTTAAATTGTTTTTCTTGTTTTGGTTTTCCGAGTAATTCACTTTTCCTTTGTCGTATGAAGACAGTGTTGTACATAAAAGTTGTCTTTTGCTCTTTATTTGTAATTGAAATGTAAGCAGTTATTTATTTGCTGTTAGGCTTCCTTGAAACTGTATATAGCATCTTAATTTATGTTTTCCTCCGAGAAAGGGTATTTTTTTTTTGTTTTTGCAAGCTTCCTGTTTCTTTTTCGTCAATTATTGATTCACGCAGAAGTTCATTTTATTACTTTTTCCTAATGCTGTTGAATGTTCAAGAAAGTCAGTTGGTGATGTTCATGTAGAGACATCCTTGAAGAAGCCTATTTTCCTAGATTTAGACTTTTTGTATGACATTCTTTAGAAGCTGAAGATATATCTGATACCTGTAACAATGGCGCTGTCATTTAAAATGTTCGGATAGCTCTAGTAGTAAGATTATTTAGTTTTAAGGTGCGATTTTTACAGGTATTGTTACTTTTTCCACTCTACTTTCCAGCTCCTCATATATGATTCTGATTTGTAAGCAATACTTCTGTTCAGTGTTTTTTTGTTGCACTTTGTGCTTGAGCAATAGCAACGGAGCTTCGGTAATATCGTTGCGCTTCTTTTGATTCTACTATTGGCTGCATAATACAAAAGTTGCGAGAACTACAATTCTTCGCATCGACAATTTTGCCATAATTTTGCAAGTATTCATAAATGCTTTTAGTAGCGTTTTTTACTTTTATACACTGGTACCAGAGATAAATTTTAATCGAAATTATTTGAGAGTTTGCAGATCGCTGGGTTATTGAAATTCAGCTGGTTTTCTTGCGTTTGATTTTGCAAGTACCTCTGATAAAAGTTTTCAGGACTGGTTTGACGCAGGACTTTCATTACTTAATGGGGAGTAAGTTTAGGCACAGAGTTCTAGGATTAGATTTGTTTAGGCGGCTAGACAATGCGGAATGGAAATTGTAAACGAACTGTTTGTTTCGTCTTTCTTAAGAGTTGTTGACTCAAGTTTTTGTTGCCTAACATCTCGTAATAACTTGCAAATTTTTTGAGGCTGTTAAATCAAGATTTTTTAACGTGTCTGGTTGTTAGGACTGGCTTTCAGACTGCAAAACCGGGAGTAGGTACGTGCTGCAAAAACTTGAGAATCTGTGCAGGCAATTTGTAACGTATGTCGTTTTTCAGAAATCTTTCTACTAGTATACTAATTTGTAATTTTGCTGAAAAGTATGCAAAACGGAATTTACGCATTTAACAGTTTATTTAAGAAAAAACTGCAACTTCTGTTGCATTTTTCAGCTTTGTTGTAACCACGGACTGCTTGATAGTTGATGCGGTGACCGTATGCTTATTCCAGTGTCACTTTTTAAGACTTTTGAAGAGCAAATGCAGTTGGAACAAAAAAATCTGCTTTCCTGACGAGGCTGTATCAAAAAATAAGATTTTTTTTTTGAAAGTTTTGATTTTTGCATTTTGCTTTTTGCTGCAGAATTTCGTTTTTTCTTTTGAAACGTTATACAGCAAAATTCTATATAATGACATAGGAGACACGGGGAAAGGTTGATTGCAGAAGGAACTTTTAGACCAAATTTTAAGCGTCAAAGACTTTTGAAGTTGGGTATTAAATAACTTGAATGGAATAAAAGTGGTATTGAGATTCTGAACAAAGTATGGGAAAGAAAAGTCCTCTTTAGAACAGCCATTTTATGTGGGCATACTTGTTGTAGATGCACAGGAATTCTGTTATTGTGTTTCATAACCTCGTTGATAGATTGTTACAAAACAGTGTCTGCTGTCTGCAGTTGGCATACAGTGATGAATGTTTTAGTAAGGAAAAAGATCTGGTAAAAGAACAAGGCATTGTAATTTCCCAAAGAAAATCTGTTACTTGAAAGCTTTCTTTCAAATTAATTGATAATAAAAAAATTTTTAAACAAATAATTGTTACTGATTAAGCTGGTGTGCAGCAACTTAAAACGTAAGATTATTTTAGGGTCAAAATATATCGGTTAAGTCATAACTCGCAGTGTCTTCAAACTGATACCGTATAACTGTGGTATGATACGCATCAATTATATCTTCACAACACTTCAAAAAATAAACCTTTTGAAAATTTAAAATTTTCTTATTTTAAATATAATTTCTTTAACTTTCGTGTTCATATAAAGTGCATTCTAAGTATTTTGTTAGTTATAAGCATTTCAGTAGTCTTCTGAATTTAAAAGAAAGAAAGTTACAAAAAAAAACCTTGAAATTTAATTAAAGAAACTGTGATTCTGTAAAAGATTTGGCTATTGAGCAGAAACAGCAGTATAGCACAAAATTTCAATTTTTCAATTGAAAAAATCAACGAGTTAATTTTCAAGAAAAAAATTTAGACTATCAGCTCTGAAAGGCATATGAATTGATGTGAAATGACTCATATATTTTATTTTTTTGAAGATTTTTTTTGTGTAAGTGTTTGTCTGTATATATTACAGATATATGTATACCTAAATGCTGCGGTTAATGTTTGACGTCTTTTTTGACCGCAAAGTACATGTCAGTCACTCATTTTTCTTCCTTTTTTTTTTATTTTGATTGTTGTTTTTACAACGGTGTTTAAGGTGTACAGCCAGTTAACTGTTGCTGGAGAGCGGACCATATATATGGGACAACAGATACCATCAATGTTCGGGTTTAAGTTGCAAGTCTAGTAACGGAGAAGAAAAGAATATTATGGTGATGTGATGTCTATTGAGAGGGGTGGAGGACAAAGTTTATGAAGGGGAGAATAGTATAAGTTGAAAGATTTTTCACTGTCAAGTGAGTAAATAAAGATGTCTGTAAAGGTTATTGTTCCCAACTTCTATTATATGTGCAAAAATCGTTTGGACTTCTTATTATGTAAAAACGCCGTATGTAAACAATGTTTTCCTGTAAGCCGCAGAGTTGTTGACTATCTATTTTTAGAAGTGTGAAATATGAGAAACTCTTCAAAATTTCTAATGTTTTTTTTTTTTTTTTTGTCTTTTACAGTGTCGATTATATAAATAATAAAATGAATTGTTGTATTATTTCTACATTTGATTTCGGGTCGTAGATTGCTTTTTTTTTTTTTATTGTAACATTCTGCTTTCACCAATACAGTTTGAACACCGGGTTAGAAGTGACACTGGGTAGATATTACTCTCAGCAACGATGCAAATGGGTATTAATTGTCGTACATGAACGCGTCTGGTCTGGTATCAGCTGACTACAAATAGTTTAAATTATATTAATGAAAGAGGGAAGATTTATACAGATGTTGCATAAACTCTTTGTTTCTTTTATATTAGCCAGTCCCGTTGTTGAAATTATAAATCATAATGTCTCAGAGAATAAAAACAAACGTTAAAGAGCTGTCATTGTTCTTTATCATTTTCCTGTTTTTCTATTCATTGTTCTGTTGTTAACACATTTGTGCAAACAGCGTCTTTAGACAGGAAGGAAATTAGGGCTGAAGCAAAGAATACTGCTAAACATCTTTTTCTTATTTACCAGTCAAGCGCCATGACTATTGCATCTTCAAGAGAAATAGGTTTAAAACATTCAAAGAAGGATAGAATTTTGCTAGGTGATATGAGGCAGCATAAAGTCAGGATGGAACCATGTGTAGTATTATGCTACCATGTATTGATAACAGTGAGGTATAATAGTGGGTGAGAAATATGTTATATCCACGCAAAAGGTTCTTTTCCGCTGCCGGAATTTTATTATCTAAAGCAGCTATTTTAATTTGGTTGATAGTTTAGAATCTTTTTTCCAAAAAAATTTGTAAGAACTGCATTGGATAGAACCCACTTTTAGGCATTTTGCCATTCAGAGGAAAAAATCCGACAGTTACTGCACTTGAAGAAAGCTACTAACAATTTGAAGGAATTGGATGGCAGCGAGATGATGCTTATAAAATGCTGTCTTGAGACAAGAAAATTTCCACAGTGAAACTATAGGTGTTGGAAGAAAATGTGGCCTATACTTGTTTTAGGCGTTTTTTCATTGGAAGCGTTGATTAGTAGAAATTTTTGCCACTTTTACTGATTTTTGGCTAATTTACTTTTTCTTCTCTAAATGTTATTACAAAATCATAGTTTTCTACAAAGCACTTCTGGAAGATCTCATAGAGTTATGAATAAAGGTTACCTTGAAGAAATCGGGTTTTTTTTCAACAAGTCTTTCGGTAGTCTATAGTAATTAGTTGATGAGTAATGTGGAAGCAATCTTTGAAAAACATTAATTCAGATTTATTAGAACGGTCATTTAGATTACTGTATATGAACACTCTGAACTGCTGCGACTGGTTAGCAGTGAGAGGCAAAGTGAACGTCTGTTTAGACAACTAATATAGGTCGGGCAGAATGAACGGTGTTAGTCCGCCAAGGCAGATAATTCTCAAATGCAGCAATTTTTTGACAAAAATAATTCGGAAACATATAGGTTTGTGTTAATAAAGTATTGCTGTTGTCATTCTTATCAAAGCTGTTGAATTAATGAAAATTAAGGAAGAGGATCTGCTGCAAAATGGCAGTTTTAGACAGAAGATATGTGCAGAAGACTATAGACATTTTATATGGCTTGTTGTGCATGTTCCCGTTTGA